TATTTTTTGTTAAGTGTAAATTTTTTCATAAAGAACGAAACTTCAACGAGAGTGGAGTCGCGTGTCGAGTTTGGAATTAACAATGCTCACCGTACGACGTGAGGTTCACCTGCCACGAAACTGGATAGCGATGAGAGGCTCTCGGACAGGAAGCGAGATGGCCCGTCACCGAGAGTTCACGACTTCCTGTCGTCGCGGCGGACGCGCTGTAAACGAGGCAGTAACGCCCAACGTCGGTGCTAGCCACCAAGTAAGCGGTGTCGTTCTCCACCCAAGTTCCATGGCATAAGTACTCTGGAAACGAGACGGCATCGGCTGTGAGCAGAGATAAAGAAAAAAAAGAAGACGAGAAAGAAATGGTAGCGTGTTGTTTCGCGAGTTGTTCTCCGCGCATTACAGACTTCGCGCTAAAAAGCATCGCGCGCAAAGTCGCATTAAACTTCTCGGTTTCTTAAAGTACTGCGAGGGCAGAGGCAAGATTATGGGCGTCGTAACTTTGCGCCCATAGTATGTAGGGAAAGTTTTTTTTTAAGACCGTTTAAAGGACCGACGACAATAACATGCTAAGCCACACGGAGCAAATTTGACGGAGCAGATGGAAAAAAGGCCATAACTCGTTAATGAGATTATTCAGATTCAGTATTATCTTCGTCGTTGGCCAAGTTTGTTTCTCAACTCTAAAAAGGGCATCTTTTTGTATGTGGATATTACAAACAAAGAAAATAGTTCGTGTATCAAGAAATTTTCCAGCAGTACACCATTGCCTGGTGTTACTTTGAAAATTATCGTAGATTAGTATAAAAAGGATATGAAGTAAAAATATTAAACAATAGGTAGTCATGAGTCATTTAGTTATATTAATTCTTCAGAACTGAAGTGGGACTATTACCGCTATTATATTATTAAATATAAATTTCTTTGTCAAAAACGTCAAACAAATCAATTTCCTTTATGTGTCTGTTTTGAATTATTTTCTAAACTATACACTTATACTGCTGGAAAAAGTCTGGTTGTATTAACTGGAATTCAGGAAAAAAATAGACAAATCAGAATTTTCTGGTTGAATTTGTTATGTAGTAATTGTAGTTGAGATATATAAACATAGAATTCTAATTAATATGATCAGAATCTTCTGGTTTGTTCATTTTCAATCAGAAATTTTTCTCAGTATAGTATTAACTTTTTATGTCATTTTAGTTCATTAAAATTAATTAGTATTTTTTAATTAACATAAATTAAATGGGTCAGGAACCCAATTTGGGTAATTGTGTTAGATTTTAACTGGAATATTTCTGGAGGCATACTTTGTTCAATACTTTGTTTCGAATTATTAATAATGAAACTGAATTGTTTCACATCAAAATATACGCTGTTGGATTTATCACTCGTAAATTTTCATAATTTCACTTATGGACGTGATCATCGTAATCCTTTAATCATTCAATTAACGTATCCAATAAAAGGCGGGAAAAAAAATGCGATTCGATCGCTCGAGGAAGCTACTTTTATGTCATTATTTTTACGGCACTTGTTCCTCCACCTTCCGGCCGTAACAATGCGCGCGAGAACGGAAGAGGAATAAACGAGGGCCGTAAATCCTCCCGACACATCGATATCAGTGACATTTCGAGCGACGATACCCGATCGTACTTGCGAGATAGTAAGATGAGAATTTACTGCGGTCGCTCGACAGCTCGTGACTTCGCGTAAAGAGGAAACGCGAAACCGCGCATCGTGTTCAACGACAGGCGATGGCACGTATCAATGGTAAAAACTCAACGTGTTAAGCGCGACATTGATGTATCAGAATAAATGTACAATTTTTTACCCGCCGTTCATACGAATACGGCGGCTCGGTAAAAATTAACGATCGATCATCATACGCCTATCTGACGAAACGATCCAATAGACATTAAAGTGATCGAATAATTTTATTCCCTGAGATGTGGCAAAACGGTTTATCTTACTTTGTGCCGTAAATTGGCGTCTCCAGGAAATGCCGATTCAGAATACGCGAACGTACGCGGATTCTAAAAGTGGAAATATCGTCGGTAACAAAGTTCCAAAATGCGGTTCTAAATTCGTCGGGGATTCCAAGATTAGAACGTAAAATTAGTCGAGAAAGTCCATGGAAGTCCGTGTGTTCCCATTGTTTTCCCGCTTGACGGAACGATCGTGATTCCGA